TCGATAACATTAGAAATTTCAGGCTTTAGGGCTCCAACGCTATTTAGAAGATTGCAGTTTTGCAATCTCAGTTTTGCAAAGATTGCAAGCCTCAACCCCGAAGAGAACACCAATAACTCCTACTATAGAACCGTTTCTTAGCTAGAGTTTACAGATTTAAAACCAGCGTTTCCGCATTACGAAATATATGCCTCATTTGAATTGGTCGGGGCATTCTGGGATCCTTTCCTTGTAATTAGCATTCCAGCATTGTAGTTTAGCTTCGCTTGGTGTGGTAACTTTTTTCCTTCATGTCATTGGAATGAATGTTTTATGTAAAATTGAATGTCTGTCCTTCTGACTGTACATAAGCCGGGTTTGCCAGCTAATAATGTTAGGATGCGTCTAATGTAACGAGCAAGCAAGGGCTTCAGGGATCAATTCTAACCTTACCTTTTTGGTATTTACGAACATTTTATCATATGTGTTGAAAGCTCCAGGATGTTGTGGCCAATATGTGGTACACTTGATCTTACCATTTTCGATCATCTGAATGCTTTTGACTCTAATTTCTTATAGATTGTCAATCCATGACGTAGGAGAGCACTATCATCACAGAAGTGATGAACGTACGTACCGGCGTTAGATTTACAATGCTTGGACATTTCTCTTGAAAAATCATTCGCCAAAAATCATCAATAGTATTGTCAAGAGGAGCCTGCAACTTGATGCTTTGGGCAAGAAAATTTGCAATGGTGTTGTGCAATGAATTTTATTCACTTGAGTGGCTATAAACACTCGGTCGTGCTTTTCGAATTTGATCCAGTTCGCATGGATGTAGTCTGTCGACGGTGGCACATCTTGTGTTAAGATAACTCGAGTTGATTCAATGCAGACAACATCCTGAAGTCATCGTAATACACAGAGAGCAGCACTCAAACTCGCGTGCGGTGCTGTGTCAGTTCTCACACGGCTCCAGCGCCAACACCATTCCATTGCAACGACAAGGTTGCATTACGTGCCGGCGTTGTGCTAGCCCAGTGTTAGCGCCACACCAGTGTCTCGATCAGATGATACGTAACGCCTTAGCTGGTAGTAATCCACTTATTTGGTGGCATTAAAGATGCCGGTAAATTGGCACACATGATATGGACAATGGGGAAGCAAAAACGTTTCATACAAGAAATTAGAGGAAGTACAGAACGGACACGATACTCACTAGTGCGTTTAGCT